AGTCTCAGAAATCAATAAACAAGATGAAGCGTTTCAAGCTCCAAGCGCCCACTGAGGCCACGACTGAAGTTCCTTGAGATGGCAGGGGCAAAAAACTCAACCCATGGCCATGGTCGGTCACGGGCTATTTCACACAATGTGTTTCAACTCGCCGAACCATTCAATATCAATCCGCAATAAACTCTGAACGTCTTCGCTTTCCAAAACCTGCTTCGTTGCTACCAGGACCAAACGGTGATATATAGTCCAAATAGTTTAACTAGACCATTTCATGGAAAGGTTAATTTAGTTCCGTAAAATTCTAGGAACCAAATGATTGATTAGTGCGAGCGCTTCTTCAAGGAAGCTCCCCCCGCCCTCAGAAGCTAACTTAGCCTGGTAGCGAACTAGTCGCCCTTAATTTACTCCCCGTTCGTAGCCAACATTGTTACCAGGAGGACAGGAGCCCCCAGTAGCTTCTTACGTTTCGACCGACGTCGTTCACCGACTTTACAGACTGCTCAGCTGCTTCTCGACGCTTTTTCTCCAAAACATCCACCAAACATCTGGTACAACGCTGTAAACTCGACGCTTCTAGGTTGGAGGCCATCGCTAGTAGGTTGGTTTCATGTTGTTTCAACCTACCTAGGACGTGTTTTTTTTGCTTCGCCCTTAAGGCTCGGACGGCTTTGCGTAGAGGTGGTGGAGGTCACCGAAGAGCTCACAGAGCTGCTGGTGGAGTAAGTCGTTGTGGTGGTCGACGTGACCTCAACTTCAGCGATCGACATCGGATACAGAGGGGAATGCAGAACTTTGGATTCGATGATTTGATTTTTGTCCGACTCGTTTCCCAGTCTGCATCCAAGCCTTCCAAGGGGACCATTCGCATATGTGAGTATCACTATATGACAACGATGGAAGGAACTAGTAACTAGTAATTAGGCACAATCCGGACAAGGGGGAGAGGAGCCTTTGATTGCTGCGGAGCTTCACGTCGTATCTTTTTTGGTGTTGTAAACTGATCTGCACGCTCTGCAAACCTTGAATAGGTGAATGTGATGTCGTCTTGTACCTCTCAGGAAAGGAACGTAATATATTTTAGGCTATTAATTAATTAGGGTAGAAAAACAAGTACGCACGCGACTATTTTGATTCAACAGCGGGCTCAGCCACAACAATACGGCCAAACAAGAGCAAAAGGACAAATAATTGCAAGTGCTTCTTCTCGCCCAACGCGTGCTTCAACATATTATGGCGACCTGGCTGACGATATGTTGGCTGGGGCGAGGGCCCATGGAAAACCAATTATGTGGCAAGATTGGCATGGATTTATGAATGCCAGCTCCCTTGTGGCTGGATTCATCACCCTGGCCACACAGCTCTTGAGGACATATCTAAACTCGTCCCAAGAAACACTTCTGCACCTGCGAGTGTGTAGTCAAGACCGGTGGCATAGAACATGCCTTCTTTCTTCTTCAGTCCCTCCTCAAAACACCGAAACCTGCTAGTGTAAGCACTTAAGAATCATAGCTTGATGGCAAGGCTCTTTTTCCATTGCCCTCACCGCCCATCTCACTTCCTTGAAGAAGCATGAGCTATCCTGCGTCCAGTCGGTAGCGGCTAGTCCTCAGTGTCCTTACTGAAAGAAAGAAAGGCGCCCACTTCATTAAGTGAGAGCTGGCTTAAGACGTAAGACCTCTCAATTATTTTCGTTTGAGTCTCCGGGCCGTGGTGGTGTTGGACTGTGAGGTCGACGTGCTAGACATGGTCTGTGAGCTCGTTGAGGTGCTCCAGGAGCTGCTCGAGGAACTGCTGGTGGAGCTGCTGGAAGAGCTGGTTGAGCTGCTCGTGGAGCTGCTACTTGTGGAAGACTGTGAAGTCGAGCTGCTGCTGGAGCTTGTGCTGCTGGTCGTGGAGCTGCTGGAAGAGCTCGTCGCAGTGGTCACCTGGTCGAGCGGATTCCGGATTGATCCTGCTGGAGTAGACGGAAGCATCATGTTTCTACTAGCTTCTTGTTACTACTAGTAAGGCACTTGTTACTAGAAGCGATGCACTTGTTCCTAGTAGCTTATTGTTCATGTTTCGAATTGTTTGGAACAATTCATCAAAGTTCGAAGAAGTTCATGCTTGTCAAGGATAGTGACTCTACTTGCCAGCGTCCGAGACACTTTTCCTTACCATCTCTTGATTCTTCATCATTCTGAAAGGAACTATTGGCATCTTCACGACTACTAGGAACAAGAACGCTACTAGGGGCTCCTGGCATCGCTACTAGGAGCAAGGATGCTACTAGTAGCTCCTGGCACTACTAGTAACAAGAATAATACTAGGGGCTCCTGGCCGTACTCTAGGAGCAAGGACGCTTACTAGGGGCTCCTGGCGCTACTAGTAGTATTCCAATCTCTTAGGCCGATGATTCCTATCTTCGATGCATCGACGGAATTTCTCTCTCCGGGCGACGGTGAGCGTCGTGGCTGTTGCAGTGGAAGAACTGGTGGTGAAGCTCGTGAAGGTCGAGGAGGTCGTGGTGGGCTCGGTGGCTCGGTGACGAGTGAGAATCTTGACTCGGAGTGGAAGCCAAAACAAAAGACACCTTGGTCTTGTGGTCTTGTCTGAAGCAAAGGGCCTTGTAAATGCAGAATCTGTGTCTTTGATTCTTTGATGGAATCCAGAATCCAGTTACTGTTTGGCTTCTATCGGGCGCAGCCAAATTCAAGTTGAGCAACCAACCAGGAAGCTACTAGGAGCAAAGGGCATCGCTACTAGGGGCAACGCTACTAGTGACAAAGGAATTCTATACGTAGTGTGCTCAACTTCGTCGACGTGGACGGCATCCGAAGGCTGAGACCCCCCACGGCCACCTCGCAAATCACGTAACTCTTGTCATAGTTGCAGTTGAGGCCTGGACGCTCGCGGCACTGGAGCGGCCACAGGGAACCGGAGCATTCTTCCTCTCTTGCAGTGCCGAATGGAAGAGAAGTTTTTTTTTTGTTACTAGTAGTAAGGCACTTGTTCCTAGTAGCTTCTTGTTACTACTAGTAAGGCACTTGTTCCTAGAAGCGATGCACTTGTTACTAGTAGCTTCCCATGAGATAAATTCCTCAACCCTTCCTTTCAAGAGTTCCGGCTGCTCAAAATGAAAGCAAGTTGCCCCATGTCGTGGCTTGAGTTCTCCTTTTGCAACCTGCCCCCACCCCACTCACTCGATTCCTTGCTGAGCTCTCCCACCAACGCCCGTGCTCCAATAGACGACCAGAGTGCTCCGAAGTTGCCAGCATCCTTCCTCCGCACAGCTCAACCGTAAGCAGGTGCTCACAGGCTCATACAAGCTCATGGCCACAGCAAACACATGAGTTGGTGAATGCACTTCTACATCCTTCTCTAAGGCAACTGCTGGTGCTTCTTGAAAGCCATGAGCCTTATTCCGCACCCCTCCGTACCTCGACAGAACGCACAGCCCAAGGCAAAGGATACAATTCGATGACGTGTGGGACTCCGAGGGACCCTGAGTTTGGTTGGGTGTCCCAATTGACATCTTCAACGCCCCCCAATCCAAGCAATATGTTTCCTCTCATGGACTCAGGCCAGTGGCAATTTGAAAGCGAAGATCAGCAGGGAGGACCCATGGGAATCTTTTATGTTTGAACATCCGTGGAGTGGCCACAAAAACAATATTCAAAACAATGCGATAATGGATGATAATGGGGTAGGGGACACTGCTGACATGGGCACGTCTGGCCCATATTGCTCGCGGTGGTGCTGCAGTCGGTGTCGCTGGCGATCTTGTCGTAGCCTAACGATGCCAAAAATCCAGAGAGACTTGAAACTACTGGGATGCACTTTGACGCCACGAGCCGTTTTGTAAAGATCATACGGAGTAGCAATGTGGAACGTGTTTAAGAGCCTGACAAAGGGGTGACTCATAAGTGTATATAATATATATATATATAAGTGTTGGACTTGTATAAAGAAAAGCGAAAGAACCGTGGTACGGTACGGACCATAAAATCGTTATCCTCCAGCCATTTTTATCCGCCACACCTGTCCAAACCACCCAGGAATGTCAGATGGACAATATGAATAACTAAGCAAAGGGAGACATAAATGATTTCATGCCACACATCTACTTCCAATTCATGTGGAAGATTGCTCAGTTCCATAAACAACAATTGTCCATCGCTGTAGCCGCCCGAGCTGTCCAACGGCCTGAGGGGCATTCACATCCTATTAGGAGCACCTGAGATTGCATTCGGCTGGGGAATTCTGCACCCTAAAAGCGATGGGCGTGGATTGTTGATCTCCACAGGTCTTCAGTTTTTGAAAAGAATCCTTTGCTCATCAAGAGGTGGAAGCAAAACATGGGTGTTTGTGCGCTTCCACATTCAACATAACCAAAGGTCGGAACTCCGAATATGAGAATCCGTCATCAAATACACGCAGTTGCCCTTTGCTCAAAAGGCTGACCGAATAGCCAGGAGGGAGGTTCAAAAAGGTGCATTGCATACTACTGAACTGGGCGTTAGCTATTTTTCTTTCTGAGGTCAAAAGAGTGCTTTCATGCAGTTGTCTCTCTTTTCAGGGTTCATACCTTCTGGAGCAGAAGATTGCTCGACCCACTAAAGTGCCGGCTAAACTGTTGTCAACCATGGCACAACACAATTTACATGCACATTACATCATCTCAAATCTCCGGTCACACCAGGATTGGACAAAATCCATGTGCTTTTGGCCAGATACATCATCCAGTTGCGCTATCTCCCACCTTATATTAACTTAGCCTTAGATGGAGGCCATCGCTAGTAGGTTGGAGGCCATCGTTAGTAATTAGGTTGGAGGCCATCACTCTTATATTGACTTAGCCTTAGCTGGGATTGATGGTCCGGCTTGGTTGGAATTGGTTGGACAAATCCATCACATGAATGGTCCGTCAATGGATTGGGCCTCCACCCGTTGGCAATCAACACACATTTAAACAAACGCATTAAAACAACTACACCCTCCTATTCTCTACCGTTTCCGGCCAGTAGTACAAGGACCCCACAGTTGCTCTCAGCCAGGGAAGGCTGGAGAAAACTAGGGCCCAAAGGAGGCGCATATCTGTCTGGGAGCATAAAGCAGCTGCAGAAATTCATCGGCGATTGGCTATGAAATCTGGGCAAAGGTTCTTCAAGACATGTTCACCTGAGGAGTTCTATATCTCAGGAGCTCTTCCCATGCTGGGAGCTTGTCTCATCCAACAAAGGTCTTGATAATTGGAGGAAGTTCATCCTCCCAGGTTCCTCCAGTAACAAGTGCATCGCTTCCAGCAACAAGTGCCACGCTACTAGTAACAAGTGCCTTACTAGTAGTAACAAGAAGCTACTAGGAAATTGGAGTGGACGATCCTAAGTAGGCGCCTACTAGCAATAGGAAGCTCCTAGCTACGACGCAGGATAGATCACGCTCGCACCAATGATTTGGTTCCTGGACTTTTTGGGAAACTAACTTTGAACAGGTTTCTAATGCCCTTTATGAAGCATTTGTTTGTGCTTTTCTCTTCTTCTCTTCTCCTCCGAGGTTCATTCAAACAGACTGCACATCACATTGGTTCAAATCTGAAGTGCGAAAATCTGAAATGGATCCTGAAGGCAGAACAGGTTGGAGGCCATCGCTGTTAGGTTGAACCAGCTCACTTCAAACACACATGCTTGCGAGCCATTTCTTTCGTGGCAGGCGTGCGTAGCTGCGCTCCTCAGTCATGTCCATGCGGTACCTCGGTCCGGCTGAATCCATCGCGTGAGTAAGAATCTAGTAGAAACAAGTGCATCGCTTCTAGTAACAAGTGCCACGCTACTAGTAACAAGTGCCTTACTAGTAGTAACAAGAAGCTACTAGCAACAAGTGCATCGCTATGACTGGGTGGGAAATCCAGCGGTCCCGAAAAATATTAAGGGATCCGCCCATCTGCATCGGTCTTTTTTTCTGTGCGCTGTGGGAGGTCGCAGCTCACAGGTCAGGCCTCAGCGGTGGGCCAAATGAAATGCCGCATGTGTTGTCTGTTCAAGCTACAGGTATCTGTGTGTATCTCACCCGTGACCTGTTCATACAATTAAAAACGCTCTCTCTCTCTCAAGAAATAGAACTTCTCTCTCAAGCAAAATTTTGCTCGAATCGCGGAGGCTTCTGATTGCAAGGCAATGGTAAGCGGTCATTGCTTGGTGCAGCTTTGGTACAGAAGCAAGGTAGTAAGGGTGGGTAGGCCTATTGAACACTGATTATTAACCAGAGAGCTGCCAAGCAAAGTGAACCCAAATTCATCTCTAAGCTAATTGACCCCTGAGCAAGCAAGATGAACACCCCTGTAAGAACTCAATCTAACTTGTCATTGAAAAGCTCAGCCTGAAAAGAACGGCCTGTCAGGCATGGGCATTTGTCCATTGCCGTGCAGAAGGATTGGGAGAAAGAGCGCTCAAAACCAAATGGCGCTGCAGCCTTGCCATAGACAAGCGGAGGAGCAAGCACCCTTCAGCCCCTGCTTTGGACTGCTGGGACAGCTGGGACAGCGAGGCTGATGTGCTTGAAAGCCACTTCCAGCAGGAGCACCAAGCTTGGATGGTCTGCTTGCAGGAGCCCTTTGGCTTCAGAGGTGCCATCAAATGTGTTCCAGACTCGCACTCATACACTACAATGCCATATGACCACAGGTCTACAGCTGGTTGAAGATGCCGGCGCAAATCATCAATGGATGCGTTCCAAAGCTCGGGCGGTCGATAGTGGGCACTGACATACTCAATGTAGCGTGGCTGGATCTCGTCTGTCCCATCATGGGAAGCTAGCCTTTCAGACATACCCAAGTCGGTCAACTTCAAGTGTGAAGCTTCTGACAGCCAAAGAATGTTCCCGGGTTTGACATCTAAGTGCAAAATGCACAAGCAATGAAGCTGCTGGAGGGCGGCTCGCAATTGCAACGCAATTGACTTGACAGTTGCCTCCTCAAAGCCACCTGACTGTTGCTGCAACAAAGCCAACAAGGAGCACCCCCAAAGTTCTAAAGCCAGGGATGGAAACGGCTTGCTATGCACTGATGCTTCCCACAATGATGGAAACCAGTGGGCTTCCGGCGCCTGCACGCAAAGCTTCATGAGCGATGCTTCCCACTGCATGTCACGAATGGCAGATTTGCCTTTGAACACTTTGACTGCGCATTTCCGACCATCAAGGTGATGGCAAAGCATGACACAGCCATAGCTTCCCTCTCCCAGCAGAACACACTGCTGTGTGTTGCTTGGATCTGCTACAGGAACAAAGTTGTGGAAGGGTGTTGGCCTCTCTGCAGCAGGAAGCTGTGTTTCACTGGCAGGCTTCAAAGGCTCCTGCTGAGGCTTGGCAGGTTGCCTTCGCACCTTTCCAAGCCCGCTCTGCTTCAAGGAATCGCGCTGCCTGGCATATTCCTCCACGCATAAGGCCCTGTATTTTGCTTTTTCATTTTCAGGTAAGCTGGCCCACAGCTTTCCAAGCCTTTGCATTTCCTTGGCAAAGCAATCTCTTGAAGACCCTTTGGGCACTTCGCTGTGCTTCTTCAGGAAAAGCGCAAATGGCCGACAAGCTTTTGGAGCAAATCCGTCTCGGACAGCTGCCATCCTTTGAGTAAGGTCGCCCTTTGGCCTTTTCTTAGTCTTGACGCTGCAAGCTGGCTTTGGCCATGGCTGTTTACCCCGAAGGCGCAAGCAGGGCGCTGCCATGTCGTTGGGGCAGCTGGGACAGCGGATACAGCTAACTTCTGCTGAGCCTGGCACATTAGACGGCAAGTTATAGCTTGACAAGCTATTAAGAGTGACAACCGGCAGTGGCACAAGGTGAACAAGAACCGACACGTTGACACACAAACTTGAGGGCAAGGTCCTCCCTTTTTCAACTTGTCTAACTTGCAATCATCAGTCGTATTGACGCCAAAACTGCCAGATGCAAATGCTTGCCTGGGGGCAGGCTGAGCAGAGCAGCTGGTGACGGCAGGTCAGGTCTCATCGCCGCTTGTAATCGCAAGTCACACTGATGCCAAAATTGTCAGCAACTGGGACTGCTGGCTACGGCTGGTGACGGCTGGTGACGGCTGGTGTTGGCTGGTGTGAAGGCAGGTCAGGCCTCGTCACCGCTCGCAGGCTCCAAGACATCTTCATCCTCATTGGCTTGCGGCACGAGTGCAAGGAGCACATCTGGAAAATGGCTTTTGATGTCCTTCGCAAGCGCCTCTGAGTAGAGGCTGGATGCTTGCACAGAGGCAAGCCCACAAGCTGCCCTGTCTGCAATAGCCTGTAGCCAGGACAGGTGGTCTCTGTTGAGGCATAGGCCGTGGTATTGCACGCCTCGTGTCAGGCATGCCTCCATCAAGGCTCCTGTCCCTGGCGTGACATCGAAGACAGCCTTAATCTTCAGCTCGTCAAGCAGGGCAATGTAGAAGCAAATGGGCTTGCCCTCCTGCCAAAACAAAGGCACGTCTTCGCCGTGAAGATCCCTCCATGTGTCTGGAGCTGCTTTGACGGCAGGGACGGCTGGGACAGCTGTGGCCAGAACCTTCCCCTTCTCCTGAGAGGAAATTAAGGGCAGCTCTGAGGCAGGTCGAAACTTGACCCCACTGTATGTCCCTTGATAATTAGTCGCTTCTCCGCATGAAGTGAACCTTTCCTTCTTGGCCGTCTTGATCCGAAGTCTGGAGACAGGAAACCTGACCACAGCGGTCTCAACCTTCTTGGCTGTGAAGGGTGTCCGCCGCGTTCGGCCTGCCCTGGGCGGGCAACCCCCAGTGTAGATCACATGGATCTCTTCCGTCTGCGGCTGGGAAAGCAATAAATCTTCCTTGGCAAAACTGTCCAAAAGCCAAAAGGTGCTAAGCCAAGCAAGCAAATTATTCATATTAATTCTTATTCACTGAAATCAACGTCAACTTCCCAAACGCTGTGGGACAGCTGTTTTTGGTCTTCCCAGTCGAGAGGCGTGCGTGCGCCTCACTTCACGCATCCTGCCATCAAAGACCAGCGCGAAGTCAGAAGAGCCTGTGCAGGAGCCGCAAAACTCCACAATGGCTTTCCATGCGGTCTTGTCTGGGCACGCTTGGGTCAGCCAAGGTTCATCCTTGTGCTCGCTGAGCAAATCAGCTGAAGCTGTAAGCAAGCGGTGGCTTGAATTCAGTTGGCCAGAATGGCTGTGCACTTTGCCACATTGTCGGAAGGCATTGGTCAAGTGATCTTTCGAGGCAAAGCTCTTTCGTCTCTCTGCCTGCACTTGTTTCCAAGTCTCCTCCCTCTTGGCCGCGGCAGATTCACTGCTGTCTCCCTCAGCAGCATTCAAAGTTTCGATCAATGAAAGCGCCGGGCAGGATGTCTGGTTGAGTGAAATGGTCTTTTGGCCGGCATCAAAAGACTGCACAATAGAGCACACAAGCTTGATGAAGTCAGAGACATGCTCTTCATCTTTGAGCGGCTAACACGGCTTGGGCAGCTGCGTACTTCGTGCAGCTTGTGACACTGCATCAGCCACCTTTGTGTCGTTCTTCGCCAAATCCTTGCAATCATCCAGATGCTTTCCGGCAACCAAATCCACTAGCAACTCAAGCAGTGCACCTGTAGCCTTGTTGAAGTCTGCCTTTGCCTTGTCTAGCTCAGACTGTTCTGAGTCTGGCGCCTCTGCCTTGACAGCTGCATCCTCATCTATTGCTTCACCGCTGGCCTGAAACTGAGCCTGGAGGAATGCTTCCCAGCACTGGATAGGTGCTTGGATCTGTTTCGTGACTTGGAGGCATTTGTCAGCATCACCGTCTGGAAGCTTCAGCACCAAAGGTTGCAGGAAATCAAACGCCTGTCAGGAGTCAGGTTGGATGCCCACCCACACACCCGCCCACACCCAAATCAGAATACATGTTGATTCAGATTCAGATTGGTTGTGAGAAACTGTCAGAGCCACGCCTCCAGGACAATCAATGAAGCAGGCCAAAAACCTGCAGCGCCAGTCTTTCTGTCTCGATCCAAAGCAGCCTCAGTCGACTTGATGACAGAGAGGAGATTGGAGCTCAATGCGACATAGAGCATGTCCACAAGCCAGGCCGCCACTGCATGGGTGGGGCGTTCTGGCTTCGCACCCTTCCGAGCCAAAACAACAAGCCTGTGCAGTTTGCTGTAGGCATTGGATAGTAGCTCTCTCCCAAACTTCATTTCCAGTCTTGTCATGCTTGTCTCGAAAACCCGAGACCCACATCCTCCATGCAAAACTGATTGGACTGCTTGCACAGCTTTATGCATTGAAGCATTGTAAGGTGCATTGTTGAAGGTCAAGTTGAGCTTTACGCCCTCCTGCAAAGATTGGACATTCAGTGTCTCCACCACAGTGCAAAACTTCAAGAAAGTGTCTGAGAGGGCAGGGGCAGAAGCACCCAATGCCTTCACAGACTCTGATGCTTTGTGGCACGCCAAGGTCCAGTCAGCTGGATCAGGGCAATAGCGAATCTGAATCGTAACAGAGCAGCCGGCTTCCCAAAGCATTTCTAGCCAAAGGGTGTCCTTGATGGTCTTGGCAGAGATGTAAGCAAAATTATAATTTGGAAGCTGGCTTAGCACGCAGCCACTTTAAGACAACAAAAACTGATTGCTCAGGATTCAATCAGGGCTAGGCTCACTTGCCTTTAATGCCTCAAAGCAGGCCAGGTACCAGGCCCACAGAATGAAGTGCGCGCTGGCCAGAGCAAAACCTCCGTCCTGCGCATACTTCTCCCTTGCGCTCACATTGTCACAAAGGGTCACCATGGTGATCGGCCACAGCAAGCGATCTTTGCTGCGGAGCACCTTTCCGACGCCCCGCCTGACTTTCATCTTCGCAGCTGCCTCCTTGGAAAAAAATCCGTCTTGAACTTGCTCAAGGCACCCCAGCTGATGCTTCCAGGGTCAGGGTCTTGGCCACCTTTGGCGAAGACCCCTGTCTGCAGCCACAGTGCCAGGCCATTGGCCTCATAGAGGCCTGATGATTCGATGGCGGATTTGTAGCTCTCAAGGCACCAAGCTGCCTGCAGCCAAAGGCTATGACTTGAAAGGAATACTTGGTGGGCAATGCAATGTGGCACGTTGTTTCTAAGAGACAATATTGTCCGATTCTTACAATTTTTAACTCTCTAGATGAATTGGCATGAAGTTCATGTCTAAATTGGACGCTCTGCTGGCAACAGGGCCTTGTAGCCCGATGCACCCTTTTCCTTGACATCAGTCTCAATGTCCAGCGGCGGGGTCAAGTGCATCTTTTCGGCTGCCGGGAGCTTCTTGGGCAGCTCAGCTTTGACCTTGTATTGGAAACAGCAACTTGGGCACTCCCTCATTCAATATGCTGGAGAGAAAGCATTTCAAGGAAAGCCGCCTATCAATGTTTGAAGAGCTGGGGAGAAGGCCCATGAGATGATCTCGTCGATCTTGCTACGCGCGTCATCCTTGGAACACTGCTGCGTGACTTGCCTTATGAAGTAATTTCACCCCAAACTTTTTTTGGGCTTGCGTCAGGACCAGGAGTCTGAGAATCTGACCAGATCAGCTGGCACAGTTGGAGCTGACATCTGGGACAGCTGGAGCAGCTGGGAAAGCTGGGGCAGCTGGGCGCAATGGGGCTGGAGCCAAGTGAAGTGAATACAAGAATAGGTTCAATGCAATGAAGTGAAAGTGAAGTGGATACAAGAATAGGTTTAATGCAACGAAGTTCAGCCCTGTTTGCGCAGCTAATCAGCAACAACTACTACAGTAGCAGGAAGCTTCAAGCTCGATTTTTAATGCCGGTGTTCAACAATGAACTGCTGCCAAAAAAGTTGTCATGGCCCTTGGCCACACTTCTGCTCAAAGCCCTGTGGCTGAGAGGCAACAAGCAGGGCTACTCAGCTCGCCTCTTCTGCCAAAACTGTGCTGTCATGCTCTGTTTCTGGAGTGAAAGGATCCTGTGTCTCATTCTTCTCAATCTTGATCAGCTGTTCAGACACCACGTTCAATTGCATCTTGAGACTTTGCAAATCACTCTCCAAAGAGCTCGCCTCATCTGTCAGCCTGCGCTTACGATTTTCGAGGCGTGCCTTTTTGTGGGCGATGACTGTGGTGGCATGGTGCTTCCATTCTGCTGTTTGGCTGACAGTCATCTGCCAGGACTGTGTCTGCAAAGAGGCCTTGCCTTCTTCAATCTGCTTGGCAATGGTTTCGCTGTTGACCATCCAGAACGAGCACAGCACATGCTGGTGGGGAGCGTTCCCTCCCGGCAAAGAATCGGTCTGGAGCTTGTGCAATTGGAGCTGCTTGGATTGAAAGTCATTCTCTGCGTCTGGCTTGAAAGCAAAGAAGGCTAATGTCATAGCCGTGGATGGGCTTGCAGTCACAGGAATGAAGCCTTGACAGCCTTCTGGATGTTCCTGGAATGAGAACAGGTGCTTGCGCATTGCATCACTTGGCTCATTGAGGATGAGCAGCTTCAAAAGGGGTGTTGCCCGCACAGTGTTCAAAGCATGCTGTAAAGGCGTCCCTGAATCTGCAGCTGGCAAGGCAATGTAGTAGGCAAAGGGCTTTGGCCGTGGAGAGAATGCTTGGAGTGGCAGTTTTGAGTTGGCAGGGACATACTCGGAGGCATCTGAATACCAGAAAGCTGTGCCATCCCACACACCCTTGCCGGACTCGAGGAGCGTAGGCTGGATTGTCATGGGCCTTCAAGAAAGGAACGAGTGAAGCACAAGCAAAAACATGACAACTCAAACTCTCAGGTAAGGGTCATCAGCTATCCATACAACTGGGCCAGGTAGTGAATAAACAGCAAAGGAGCTGGGAGTGAACAAACAAGCTGGTTGCAATAATCAGAAAGGTGTTGAAGTTGCAGGACTCAAATTCTTTACGCAAACCAAGGCTCGAAAACTCAAGGCACCACTCGCCAGGCAGCAGCAATGGCTCAAACAAGTCAAAGGGTTTGGTCATCTCGAAACCAAGGCCTTCGGGCAATGGATGAAGAATTTTCTTGCCACACATGTCAGCAATGTTCTCTTTCGTCTTCAGGCTGAACACGATGTAGTTGGGGCGTTCCATTGCCAAGGCAACTTGTGCCTGCACGTGGGAGCGAGACTTTCCGGGTTTGGTTCCGGATCCTCTCTCTCCAGACAGAGTGTTGGACAAAGCAGCCCCAAGCTTGCGAGCAGTTGATTTCTTGGTCTGGGAAATGGCTGCCAAAGGGGTGTGGTGCCACTGCATGGGCTTGATCTGCGTCAACCACACACCTGAGCAATCTTTTTCGACCAAGCCCTCATAGATGCTCTCCTCAACAGCGTGGTAGCCCACAGTGCACCAGGCCATCTTCAAGGACAACAGGGACAGCAAGGACGGCAAGGACCGCGAAAGCACAGCAGGCGACAAAAAGGCTGCAGGAAGATAGCCTAAACAAGTGTCACTCCCATGCGATGACACAAACACTCAATTCATGACCTGTTGCCCCAACACACACAAATCTGAGCTTTTATCTGAGCTTTTAGGTCGTGGCTGGCAGGCAGGAATGCGAATGGCTCGCCCGGCAAGCCTTGGTGCAATGTTTCCTTACATGTCTCCCCCAACTTGTCTGCCTCTGTGATCTCGCAACCCAATGCTAGAGGTGACCACAATGTGTTCATCTGTTAAATATGCTTCTGAAAATTGACTGGCCTATTGTCTCAGGAGCAGTGGTACAAAACTTCCTCCCTTAAAACAATCCTCGCCATTCCCTGCAAAATCATCTGAGACGCAAAAACATCAGCAGATCTAGGGATCCGGCTGGAACAGCTGGGGCAGCTGGCTGCTATGGGTCGGCTCAGTCCTGCAAAGCGATAGCTGGCTTTAGAGCGATTGTTAGACCCGCAGCTGGCCTCCAAAGCGCGGCTGATTCTTGGAGCGAGAGTGGGCAAAAGTGAGCTGCACCAATTACCTTTGAGGTCGGCTGGGACAGCTGGGACGGCGGTTGGCAGGCAAAGTATTGAATCCAATCTACTACTAGTGACATTATTGGGGCCACAATTCCCACATGTGTGGGCAGGGCGCTCCGAGCCAGGAGAGCCCAATTCTTCATGACTTGCAAGGCTTTGCAGGCATTGATGACAATCATTGCCTCTCCGCTGCTTCCATCCTGAACTTTTGCTGCCAAATCAGCCACACCTTTCAAGTGGCACAGAGGCGTCAACTCCCAGATAACCTGGGACCGAACAGCTTCGGCAGTCTCCCCAGACCAACGCCCAAACCATCGGCTGTAGGTGCCGTTCCTCAACTCCCAACATTGAAAAAAATTACTAGCGACACAGGCAAACTGCCAAGCTTACTGCACTACAAGTGAAGAAATAAGCGTAAATCTGCTGAGAAACCACGGTTGGGCGGATGTTTGCCCATCATCTGCAGAAATGCCTCCACCAAGGCGTCCCAATGCGCGAAGAGACTCAGCAAAGTGAATGCGCATGAGGTTCTGGCCTGGAAGCGCCAGCAAGTGCAACCTCAATGACTCAAGAGCATCGCTGGGCCACCTCTGAGATTCTTTCAATTGGTAATCAAATTCCTGGCGAGTTATTAAAACCCAAAAACAGGGCCAAACTCTATGAATTCATGATTGTTCCCAACAAGACACTCCATTAGAAAAAATCAGATGCTGCCACTCATCCCTGCCACCCACACCCACCACCACCACCACCACCCCAGCCGCCGCCACCACCACCACCCACCACCCACCACCCACCACCTGCCACCCAGCCCCCAGCCTAAGCCCCTGCCTCCACCCATGATGAAAGCCTTCCTGATGACCAGTAAACAGTAGTATCCTGTCACAATGTGAACCCTGAATATGACCTATCAGCTCAATAGGAATCTGAGGGCCAATAACCTTTCATAGCAGTTATCTGACCCTTCAAACATCCAAATATGACTCAAAGGGGCGTTGCGGTGATTTGAAGGGTCCCTCCCCAGGCTGGAGGTATTATTTGCTGGTCGAGGCACATGTCTACGTCGACTTTCCACTCAGCCTTGCTCCGAAGGGAGGAGAAAATGAACTCCTTCTTCAGAGAGCCATCCAGGAATTGAGCTGCGATGGACAGCACGCTACTCAATCGGAGTTGAGCAACATCGCGGTTGGGCCGAATGAAATGCACCTGCCGGCCACAAAAACTGCCACAAACAAGCTAAGAGTGGAAGAAAAGAACTCGAAAGCGGATACTCCCATGTTTTGTGTGAAGCGGCCAGGCCTTTCCTTTCCTCTTCACTTTGCGGGTTGGAAGATAAGCTTTGCGCTCCCCAACGCCCCCAGTGGAACGGAAGAACTCCACGAGAGCAGCGACCAAGTTGAAACGGCTGCCTGTGGAGTTTGCAAACTCAGCCAGCCACTCTGCAAACCTGCCACAGAACACAGGGCATCCTGACTTCGCATGCAATTGGATTCTCTGCTGCCACTTGAAGCACATGACGTGACCACAGGTCAGTGTGTCTAGCTGAAAACGTGCCTTCTTTGGCTAACTCAGTCGGTCAGAGGTCATATCAAAGCGAGACACAGTGGACTGCGCAAGTATGTGGCCATGATCACACATCCGAACTGCTCCAAGGCATCCAGCCGCTGGCAACCAGAGCACTGAAGAAGCTTCTCCAAAGCAGCCGTGATCTTATCCGAGCCTTGGCGTGAAGGAAAGGGAAGGAAAGGGAAGGAAAGGGACCGACCGAAAGGGCAACCAAAGGAAACAGGTTGCCGTATTCCAGGCTCTTCAGCGCAACAATACCTGGAGCCAGAAACCGTTCTGTCCATAATTGCTACCACCCACTTCTGATGCTGAGTAGCAGCTGCTACCATGAGTAGTCAGTGGATGAGGCTGCAGCACTGCAAAAGACACCACCCCTCATGGTTGCCAACTAGTATACTATGACTACTCCAGTTCAGGCATGGCTGCGAGGATGCCCCTTGAGAACACCAATTCCCCATGTTCCAACCGCATTGAACGGTGTTGGTGTTTGCCTTGCCATTGACAATCAAGAACAATTTGCTGTTCTGCAATTTACGAAATCATTGGTTTGGGTGTTGGCGCAATGTAAGAATGGTGGTTGGTGATGGCCTGTTGCTGAACAGTTTTTGTACTGTGGTTGACCGTTGCCCACATTCAAAACATTGTCTGTTGTAGCCATGCCAGTTTGTAAGGGGCCATGTGGCTGCATGGTGGCTTTGGGGAAATTCATATTGCAATACAAAAATGAATAACTATTGTCAGCTTGCAAGCAATCTGTAAGAACATTTCATACTCTCCATGCCCAAGTTGCCACTGTGCTTTGACACAGGATGCAGGAATGATCCCTTGCAGGCCTGCAAGAAGGTTAGGCTCTGGCCCTCCATCCGAAGGAACGGGTTGTTCCGGTGAAGGATCCTGGCCACAAGGCTCTCATCTTCCTGGCCAAATATGGGTGAACTCTCAGGCAAACCTATCAAAGGGCAATGACTGCTGTTCCAACTTCTCACAGCCAAAGGCCCTCTGTGACTAGGTACCTCATCAGGCAGCTTGCATTTGGCCCGGTAAACCAAGTATGCTGCTAGAAGTGCCTCAGTGTGAAAAAAGCACGACAACAAACACACTTGAGAAAAATGCTCAATCAGTGTGGAACTCAGTGCGCGCATTAGCGGTGCATTAGCCCCTTAGAGTGGGTTGCAATACTGGTGTCCAGCGCTTAAGCCTGGACCTGTCAATGGTCATACTCCCACAGAAAGGTGAACCGGTCTGACCAACAGTATGGTTCAGGTCACAGACTGAAGAAGGTACACGTACGTCACTGGCCATCTCCAGTGATATGAGAGCTTTGTTAAGTGGAGAGGTGTGCTCCACTCCCCTGTGTGGTAAACTTGAGCATTATGACATTATTATGACGCACAACTGAAAGGAATTATATACTAAATTAGGTGGGAGTAGTAGTAGTAGTAGTAGTAGTAGTAGTACTAGTAGTACTAGTAGTATTAGTATTAGTATTAGTATTAGTAGTAGTAGTAGTAATAGTAGTAGTAGTAGTAGGTGGTAAGTGCTAGGTCGTAGGTGGTAGTAGTAGTAGTAGTAGTAATAATAACTTAATATTACTAGACTAGTAGGTAACAGTGGTCGTAGTAGTAGAAGTAGAAGTAGTAGGTGGTGGTGGTGGTGGTGGTAATATTAATAATAGGTGGTGGTGGTAGTAACAATTAATAGTAGTAGTAATAGCAGTAGACCCTGGAAACAGGTGTTGGCACACACACACACATGTACAATTTGCGCGCAGTCTCACACACACAAATGGCTGCACACTCACAAGCTTCACCAGGATTAAATGAATTGATCTGTGTGCAGGTGGGCTGCAGCAGGTACTCGGGCAGGTGGCAAGTCTCTGAGCAAGAAATCGACCACAAAGAGCAAGTCAGCTTGCGAACTCTCTGCACAAGCTTTGGCAGCCTGGCAACTGTCACTGGTAGAACTTTACGCCCACTGAATCACAATGCCTGATCCAAATTATCTCTGTGGCTGAACCGTGGCAAAATGAAATGAATGCTTGCTTCTGCATGAAGCCCACTGTCATTGGTGGCAGCGCGCCTGCGCAGCAGTCTTTTGACCTTGGCCCAGGTGCTTGTGCCACTTCTTGCCTGCAGATCTGCTATCCAGCCAAGCTTTGACAGCTTTCCCAGGAGGGATCGGAGGTGGAGCCATGGAGAAACACCTGCCAGGCTGCAAAGCTATTTTCCATCTATATCAACAGCACTTACCCTTGGCTGTACTGCCAGGAGGCTTGGATTCGCCATATCAACCCTTGGAGAACAAACCTGACCCTTGGAATGCAAAACGGCAAGTATGACCTTTGGTTGCAATGCATAAACCCTTCAACTGATGGCGTCAATCAACCCAAAAAGGTTCTCGCGAACCAGTTGGCAAAGGAAAAGTCTATAAAGAGAGGAAGCCAAGTGTATTGGAGATGAACATTTACGTGTCAATACAGGCTTGGTTCTTGCGAACCAGAGGTGTATTGAAGTCAAAGTTTTGACATTGAGTTTCAAATCTGCAGCCAAGTGTATTTGACAGGAAAATTTCCGTGTCAATACAAGCCTGGTTCTTGAGAACTGCTATTGTATTGTGATGAGGTCAGGTTTTTTAAGCTTTCAATGAATGAGTCCAGCTGAAGCCCTTGGCTTGAAATTGTCCACGCACACCCTGGGATTGTCTCAGGGAGCGGATGGTCTTTACAAAATCTTTGGCCTCTGCAAGGCTTCGAATGCGCTTCAATGGGACCTTCTTGGACCCTGGAACTTCACCAGGCTGCTGCTCCCCAACTATGAGCTTCCACCTTGATCCACTTTTCTTGGCACAGGACTTGAATGCAGAGAGAATGCTTGGAGACCTGAGGTGGCGTGCAAAGACCACACTGAACAAACACATGGTCAAGGACTAAGCAGTACCCCTGAAAGTAGATGAGTCTGGCAACTGAGCTGCTTCAGAATGTCACATTGCAAATGGATTCTCATACACTTTGCCTTGATGGCTGGTCTGCACCACATGAACCGGCTAAGGTCCCATGATTGCCGCTTTTCAACCGCCACATCTCCTCGAGCAGCAAAGCAAAGACCCAATCCATATCCAACCACCAATGCAGCAACCTAAGCACACAAAACTCAGTCAAAGAAATACCTACTGGAGGCACTCAAAATACAGCTACCGGCTTCTCTGCTGCTCTTTCATTGCTATGGGGCATGGGTCGCTCATTCTAGATTGAATTGACGCCAGGATGCCTGCAGTGGCAAGGGCGTGGCCATTGAATTAATTAAAAACATCTTTCTGCATCAGCAGGCCCAGCGTGTTCCACGCAGACCAGCTATATGCTTTGGCTTTCGGTTTGCTTTGACCTTTGTGGCCTTGCGTCTCTGCTTGGACTTTGCAATGTCCATCCCATATCTGGATTGGAGGCCTGCTGCCAGCCTAGAATTGTTCAGGAGGACAGCTTTGGACAGCTTGGACGGCTGAGGTGTGGTCAAGCTCATCCAATCCACTAGACTGATAGCCATGAGCATCGCAAACCCCACTGTCTGCAAATGCATCATGTTTCCAGCCATGTCCTCCAACTCGGAATCTGACACATTGCTTGGGATCGTCATCTTGTGCAGCGGCAGCGCATGCATCAGCAGTTTCTCCATGGGAGCTAAGGCTCTGCCAACCTCAGCCATCAATATGTGAGCGCCTGGAGTAATTGTTGGGAGGCAGCCATCGCTGCGCAAAGGTATGCGCCCCAAGCTCTGTGACATGTCGGCTGTGGTATTGTGAGAGCAATGGCCTGTCTTCAATAGTTTGTCCCAAGCATCCCTTTCCCGTGCAAGGTGGAGGTAGAACTTGTCTGGTAGGAGTTCTTTCAATCCAGGCTTACCCTCGATCTCAAGTACCTCCTTTCCGAGAATCCACTGCTCATGGCGCTCCATCCACTTGCAGCACGGGTGCATTGCAGGAAACCGCTTTTGCTTTGCAACCTCCCACCGGCTGCGTCGCTTCTCCTGCAACTCTCTCACCACCTCATGATCTGGAGGAAGAAGGCGGTCCAGGAGCCTGGCTGGGGTAAATCTAGCGCAGAATGCTTTCCACACCTGTGAATACAGGCATTGCGCATCTGCCTCAGAAACACTGGACACGTCCTTCCTGGTCCCAATGAAATAGTAGCGTGGTCTGCTGACAGGCTCACCCAGCTCAAGAGGGTTGAGAAGCTCCACAATGACATTGTACCCCACATCACGCAACAGGGCTAAAACCTGTGGCATGCATCGCTTGATCCCCTCCACATTTTCAAAGACGAACACAGGGGGGCGCAGCTTTTTCAGTCTGCGGACAACGGCGAAAAATATACCAGCTTCCTGCTCATCTAGTAAACGTGTCTGATGGTGCAGTCGTGAAAATGGCTTGCATGAGAAGCCAGCTACATACATGTCAACTTCAGGCAGCACACTGTCCATCTTTTCATCCAAAACATCATCAAAGAGCTTCTGCTCAGGTGGACAGTTCGCTGCAATGACTAGTCTGGGCGCCTTTGCGCATTCGCAGCTGAACAAATGCCGGTGGTGGATTTTTAATTGACGCAGCGCATGCACAGGGCTTTCCAAGCCACTGCAATCTGTGCCCACACGAAGTGGTCTGTTTATGGCAGCTTGAAGCTCCTCAGTCCAGCCTTCACCCTTCCTCTCCTGAAAAGCTTGCGAAAAGGCTAGCTTAGTGCGCTGCCCCCATGACTCCAACCATTGACAGTGCTGATCAGGCAACAGCACCATTGCGCAAAATGGACAGATGAGACAGCTGGGACAGCTGGGGCAGCTTGGATGGCTGGAACCTGTGACAAGCCAAAAGGCTAAAATGTCAGAGTCACATGGGCAAACTGACTTTGGGGATGGAGGGTGGCTCAGCATGCATGGACCATCTGAGGGCGCAACGAAATGAGCATCTGCCATGTCCAAATCCAAATCATGCAGATTGTCGACCACCATCAAATCCGCATCTGCCATGGCCATGGAAGCCAAAATGTGACAGCCTGGAGGCAACTTAGTTCGCCCAGCTCCTTTGCACAGAAGCAAAGTTCTCACCATCTTGCCCTGCACCAGGTGCATAGGGTATTTCTGGTTGTCTGGCCCCTCAAAACCGCCAGTCTTTGGTCCGGTGGGCTGATATGGCTTGGAGCCAGAAGCCCTTCTCTCTGCAATCGCTGCAAATCCTAGATGATGAATCAAACACAAACTTGAGTCTGCCTCAATCAAAAAGTCTTGCTAAGCTTTGGTAGCCAGATACATCCATTATGGTTTAAACGCATAATCAGTTTCAAAAAGTAAAATCTGGGCTACTCAGCAAAGCGAGCGTCTAGCTTGCTTCCTATCTGTGTGCTGCTGAAACTTTGTCTGCGCAGACTGGGCACTATTTGGCCCCCACCGTGTTCCAACCAAGTCTAAGGCTGAGGAAGAGGAAGGCGCTTGATCTGTCAGCTTCTCCATGTCCAAGCCAGGGATGAAGGATGGCAGCTCGCCTACACTGGTGGACTCTCCATCTCCAGCCCGGCAAAGCCGATCAACTGCCCTCTTCCTACTGTCTTGAATAGCTGCAAAGGTTCCTTTCCTCTTCCGACCCTTTCGCATCTTGCCCTCAAAGCTAGGCTCCCGGTACTTGTATTGAAAGCGCCGACCATAACATTGAATCCACAATTTCGAGCAAGATCGGGCAAAGGCAGTGGGGTAAAGTTTATGCTGTCCATCCAAACAAGCTGACTCAAAGACTTCACACTCTTTCTGTGGTCCATCCAGGGCTACCCGCAGAATGGCTCCAAGCATACTACCGTCCTCAGCATTGGGGCCAGAGTGAGCAGCAAGCTGTGCGCAAAGACTGCCCAAGTTTCTTTCCAATGTGGTTGTGTTGGTTTTCAAGCTCAAGTAGAAACAAATGAGCTCCTCAAGCTGTTTAGGTTTTGCCAGCTGGAGTGCTGGGGTCATGAATCTTGACCTCCACTCTGGAACCAGTGTCCAGCTCCACGCCACTCTGTTCGATGGCCTCTCGACATGCTGGCTTGCAGCCCCAACAAGCTGGCACAAGAGCTTGGCTGTGTTGGAAAAGTCACGGCACAGCTTTGTAGAGTCCAAATGCAAAGCCTTTGCCAAAGGCTTGATCAAGGGCTTCACGTCGTCCCTCTGCCCTTTTGTCTCCCAACACTTCAAGTCAAACACTGACAGGCGCTTGGCTATCTCATCCCCTTGCAAATCGACTTTCACTCGGTCCATCATTGCGTGAGCAACAGCAGACATTTCCGACATGATTGAGCGAATGTCCTGTACTCCAGCTTTGGTGCACAGGTAATGAACTTTGTTGCCATAGTAGATCCTTGAACTGATTGAAGAGGCGTGCCCTTTTCAACAACCCCTTCAGGATGGACGCGTTAATGGAAAAATGCAAAGCTTTGGATGAAAACCAAAATGAGTTACGCTTCAGGGGTTTCCACCTGCTCATAAACAATCTGGGTGATGGTCTTGTGCGACATCAGATCCTGAGCAGCTCCTTCTGCAACAGCTGGGACGGCTTGGGCAGCTTGGGAGGCTTGGGCAGATGGTACTCGCTTTGACCCATCTCCAAGGATCAATCCGTCACAGAAGAGCAGCTTCATTCGCTTGCAGAAGGACTCCACTGCTCGGGCAGTTTCCGCTGGATCTGGGTCATCGATGTCAAAGTGCCCCCGAAGGAATGCCAAGCACTCTGAAGTGTAATCACAAGTAAGACCACACCGGAACAGGTTTTGTGGGGTCATATTCAGCAACGCAGCCTCTGCTCGATCCCGAACTTCTCGTGAGCCACGGTCCTGACACATGAACACAATGTTGACAAAAACGCATTTTCCTCAACTGACAGACCCAAAAGGAAGAACATGGCCAAACGTTAGTAGCATGTGAAAACTGAAGGCGCTCAAAGCGCTGAGGCTCGTCTGCAGCTTGCATAGCACAAAGCAAGGCGATTGCACGAAGTAAGCAGCAGTACTTCATCATGGGAGTTGCTGTTGAATCGAACCTTTGCTTCGCAAAGGAAAAAGTGTGAAGCACTTTATCCAAAGGGCAGCTGGGACAGCTGGGACAGCTGGGACTGTTGCTGGCTAGGACAGCTTTCTGGGCAGCTATCAGGCGAGACTTCCAGACTTCAGAATTTTGGATGTCTGGAATTAGCGCATGCCTCTTATTGAACAGCCTCTCCCACTGCTTCTCAAATTCCTCATTGGCGTGCAGAGGATCCTTGGCTGCAATGCGCACCTGGTGGGCCATGTCACAGCTGATCCACAATAGGTTTGGCAGCTCTGCCCTGCAAGACAAAAGCTCACCGGCCTTGTGGGCGCTGGTGCCTTGATCCGAAGCATAGTGCCGGACACGGGAACAAATTTTCCCCAAGGTATCATCATTCAGCTGCCCGTCAATGTCCTGGCATGCCAGCCTCAGCGCCTCAACAATGCTCTCAGCCATTTTCTCACTCTTGTCTGCATTGTGAGAGTCAAAAGTGTTGGTTGGGAGGTTGCCACTGGTCCTCATCACTCCCAGGATGCCTTCCACAACTAAAGGCTCCATCTCACACCATTCCTCCAACTTTGAAGAACTTCTCAGAGACTGGACAGCTGGGACGGCTGGAGCAACTGCTGCTTGGAATGCATCTCTAGATGAATAGCTGCACCTATACCGAACAACACGGAAGTCTGCCCTATCATCCACTGAAATGGAAATGCTGTCTGCCTCCTGGAGGGCTTTGAGCCGCTGGGACCACACAACCCAGCCCATAATCTGAATCATTTGTCGAAGACCTGTTTCTGCAAACATTCGACTACAGGGCCTCAGAGCCTGCCAGCCCATTCGAGACCAATATAGAAATTTTGATTCAATTATTAGGGCTCTGCCACAACAAAGTACTCTGAATCCTGCCAAAGCACACTTGCGTCTAATGCTGCAACGGCGTCCAGTGGAGTAATCCTCAGTGCTGTAGTGCTTTTCAGCTTTGCGGAAGGAAGACATAGTCCTGCAAGCACTCCACGCCCGCAACCAGTCATGGGGCTGTGGTACGTTGCCAGTAAACAATGTCTGGTCGGATAGCTGGTAGGGGAGAAGTTGCGATACTGGACGGTCAGGCTCGAGAAATAAGTTCTGTGCGACTCTGTGGACGTGCAAGCACTATGCTGACGGACGCAGCTGGCCTGCATACATTTCCTCTGCTTGGAGTGCAGCGTCCAACTTGCGCAACTTAATAGTGCTCAAGTTGCGCGTAGACACTTAGTCCAACTTAGTGCTCCAAGACAGTTACTAGTTCAGTGACACTTCCAAACACCATCACCTATCCAAATGGGGTCTGGGCGCCCCTCAAAAAATTGAAAAGCTAATCAATTTACAGTTAAGAGTCCTTGAGCGCACATCAAAGGACCCCCACTTGGTGCTGAAGCGGCTTCCAAGCCTCAAACGGAAGATTCACTCTGTCAGTCTTATTACTATTGGAGGCAATGGATGCCCATAGCAGACAAGTAGCAAGCGCCCACGCTCATCTGGATGGAGCGACAGCACATGCATTAGGTTTGCACAAAATGTGCATCCGATACCCCAGTGGCCCTCTCGACGGACTGGTCGCTCTGCCAACCAGACAGTGCACTGTGGCTTGCCCCAAGAACTGTGGCGCAAGGTTCCAATCTGCCCCCATCGCTTTGCAAAGCGAATGAACCTGTCAGCACGCTGCGGTGACTGACTGGGTGAAGCCATGCCTTTTTGAAAACATTGAAAGTGGTGGGTGGCTGGGATATTTTTAAATTGGACAGTCACTACTGGGTAGGCTGCTGACAGCTGTGACAGCTGGGTCAGTTGGGGGCGACACCACCACAGGCTGAGTATCATGTGAGATGAGGAGTGGGTGAGTGTCAGGGTGTGCACAGCACGTTGACAATGAGGAGGCGTAATAAGATGGACCGTGACAATGATCAGAATCAGAAACAGTCAGCGCACACACATGAGGATGAACTCAGTCAGGATGTGAGGACTGGGAATCAACTTATGCAGGTTGCGAAGGGCTTGGTATAGGCGTGGTGGCAGACAATTAAAGACTATGAGAATGGATTGAGCCGTCGCACGCCCAAATAATCTAACATGGTTTGACATTTCACATGTTGTGTTGCGACAATTCACCCGTGCCAAAGATCATCTTGAAGACCCCCTCCCACCCCTCACATGTGTGAGTAAACGTAACCATGTTGGTGGAAAAGCGTGAAAACACAGTCAACATTAAAACCTTAACGCCTCCCACAGACCCAAAAGCTATCAATTATTTAAAAACAGGTGATGTGTTTTCATAAAAACAAGGAGGGCCCAAGTAGCTAACCTTTTGAAACAAGACAAAGAAGAAAAGCAATGGCAATAGCACCATTGGGAGCTACTAAGTAAGACAATTCACCACTACCGGAACCCTCTCAGTCAGCCTGCAGCGTCCACAACGGGCTTCCAGGACTGTGCCTTTGTGACGGACCGTGTGCTGGAGCTCAGTCTCTGCCACCAATCCTACAATGCAACTCTCTCCACGCACCCTGTCCAACTTCACTGCACCTGACGCTTTCCGCTGAGGATGCTTTGGAGTGGCATCCCCACTGTTTACGACACTCTGACTCTCGCCTCGGTGACTTCCGGTTCCGTTGGGCCGACGAATGCCCCAACGGTCAGAAATGTGGGCATGGGGCCCTTTCGACGCAGAGCTTGGCTGACAGCGTTTCTGAACTTTCCGTGGTTTCTCACCCTTAACTTTCTCCTCCAAAAGCCCCCACCGAAAACCAACACACGCGCTTTTGGGCGGCATTGGACGGCTGCAGGCAGAACTTCCCCTTTTGCAACATCTATCAACCAACAGAAGAAAACTCACTGCAATGCAAGCAAGACAAACTTCCACACCAGTCCACAGACCCTGTGACCCACCGCAATTCGACCCGCGACTGAGCCACGCCTCGCAAAAATCTGCCACTTCGACCGTCACGCTGCAAGTGGGGCCTCTCGTACCTGAATGGAGCCGGATGAACAAGCAATGAGACAGAAGTTGAAGTATGGTGAGTGAAGCAGTGAGTCAAAAGGTCTAGACTAACAAACTTGCACACCAATGGTCATTCTTGCAGACTAAGACAACTCATCTCTCTCAAGAGATGCTTACTTATAGGAAAACACAAAACATGGTGAATCTAGACTTGCAGCCCTCAAGCTCAGCTGACTATTGCACATGTTTCACACCACGCTGAGGCTCAAGGATTGGACTTGGGCTTGGAGGTAGAGGAGCCAACCTCCTGGCTCAAGCAAATTCATGGACATTTGTTAAGGCCACGTTTCATTGGATTCGGCTTCAACTTGACAGGTGTATTTTCAAGAACAACCAAGTCGCCACGACAAAACGATGCTGCTGTCCTTGAAGATCCTCGCTCAAAAGCTTGCCCGTGGGTTTGCTCCTGGCAGAGAAAATCTGCTAAGTAAGTTTACAACCCAACTCAGGTTCCTAACCTGAACGATGACTCTGATGTATGACTTTGATAGTCGGTCAGCTGGGGCAAATTACACCACTCACTCTCACTCACGTCACTCACGGCCACCTGAATAAGCTGCAATGGGTCAGCTGGGACGGCTGGGACAGCTGTCTGGACACAACCTGCCAGAAAACAAAATGCCTCACGCTGACGGCTGCATTCAACTTGGAAAGTGGTCAAGCCCTTTGGCTTCATTCAGTGCTCAAGGCTATGGAGCGCACATTTACGTGAGGTGTATGACTCTGCAGGTGCCCCACATTTCAAACTTGCCTCCTCTGGTGGATGTCAACCACCGCCCGCACCAAGCCTCCCAAATAGTAGAATCGAACTGCAACGATTCTCCAATCATTGAAAACTTTGAAAACCGGTCAAAGGTCACCATCTCATTGCGCGTGTTCACCCATGATCCTGAACCACAAAACTTAGTATTTAAACTGTCAGCGGTGGACACGTGACTTAGTCCCAAGCCCCTTGCTGCCAGCTGGCCGCTTCCAGGCCTGCAAACATAGGCAAAAGAGCGCTAGCCTTCAAACAGCCCCTGTCAATGCCCCTCAAGCTTACAATGCCTCCCACGTCTAGAGCGCTGAGACTGGAAACCCTCTGCCACCCTTGCGCAAAGAATGCCGCCAGCCTCCGCGTGGCTGGTCGCCTGCCAGAATGTTCAAGAGGCTTGTCAGTCATAATAAGTTGAGCTGTAACAGTAACAATCAAACTGTGATTCTGATCGCTTGCACCAACAAATCCTGACAATTGAAAAAGCTGTCTGAAGCAGGCCAAAATTAATCCGAACCCCTCACTCTTTCAAACGTCGCATCGATTGAGGTCCTGCAATGCGTCAGCTGTTGACGGCTTGGGGACAGCTGGGACAGCAAAGACGATTTCAAGAACAAGCAAAAGCCACACAAAGGTTGCATGGTCGGCGCCGCTCTTGCTTGCTCAGCACTGTGCAAAAAGGTGGCTCATATGGCTATGGGCTCTCACTGGGTATTGTTTCCCCAGGGTTGCCATGCCTGCCATGGATCATACTGCCACTGATTCTCCGCCCTTTCCCAAGGTGGCATTGGTGGATCTGCCTTCGCAGCAGGGCGCAGGGGCAGCCTGCGCCTGGGCAGCCTGCGCCTGAGCTTGGCCAGCTGGGGACGGCAAGGGACGCTGCTTTGCCTGAGGGGCATAGAACACCTGCCGCGTTTGGTGTGCCCACCTGGCTAGCTCTATGTCCCCTGTGTTCCGCAACGTCTCATTGCAATGCCTCAAGGTCGGCTGGTTGGTCGGAGAAATCATGGCAACCGTCAGGCCTTGTGGCCACTTCGCCAACCGTGCCACATGATGCTTGAACGGACGCCCCTGTGCATCGAGCTGTCGGGTCAGCGTCATTGCCAAGGCATCCTGTGAACGTGTGTGCCTTGCCACAATGGCCCTCTCCTGAGGTTTCCGCGCGCACAACCAAAAGGAACAAGCTGGCAGAATCACACCCCTATTATTGTGAAAAAAAGGATCTCAAGGTAACTTATTAATTTAATTTAGCCAGTCACCTACCTTAAATGGTGGCCGGATCAAATGCCCCCCTACTGGTTCCAAAAATCACCAAAAATCACTAAGCTTTAAGGAATCCCAGATTCAACGTGCATTCCATCAATGACCAGGGCAAAGTCATCAGGGCTGCCTCCTGTCCATGCGACAGTGACCTCCTTCCTGGTGCCTTGGCGATAGAACCAGTTGTCATCCACAAAGTCGCCACGGAAGATCTCGGCCTATCACAGGAAAATCATGAGAGTGTTTGTAAAGTTTGCGAGCCCATGACCACCACAGCCTATTAAATATTACTTCATTTACAATTGAATACCAAGAGCCGCTGCGTTTTGGACTGGAAGGCCTGCAGTAGAGGAATGGGCGTGAGGTACGATCGCTGGGCTGTCTGGCATTGCCCCACAGTCATGACATAGAAAAATCCCTCAGAGGAAACCCAAACACTTTGGCTCCCATCGCTGAAAGCTTTGTCACGGTCAATGAACTGGTGGATCCCAGTATCCAGTCGGTTCACGACCTGCAGGTCACAATTCCTCATTGTCACTTGCAGGCCAAGGCAGTAGCGGCATCCAGCCTGCTCCTGAATGCGCCTCACCTCATCATTGAAGTACGAGGTGAAGAAGGACAGGTCAATGACCCGCTTGTTGCGGTCCTCCAAGCTCAAAGGCCCGGAGCTCTGAGCTGGAACGCCAAGCGCTGTGTCCAAGCTTCTTGCCTGGGATACACGGGCTCTCAGGCCAGCC